TGGGATATCGCCACATCTATGTAGAGCTGGATTCTCAGTGTTCGGTGCAACTCCTCTCAGGTACCGGACGCCAGGATCATCAGCATGCCACCATCATTGATAGATTCCAGGAGTTACTGTCCTGGGATTGGGAGGTCAAAATATATCACATCTACGGCGAGGCGAACAAATGCGCCGACTACCTTGCCGGTCTTGGTCACTCATTGCCCTTGGGGGTTCATTGTATTTCGAATTCCATTCCTGATCTTCATCATCTTTTATTGTATGACTGTCAGGGTCTCTATGAGACTCATTTGGTTGTGAATGAAAGCTAGATGAGCTGCATCCATTTATAAAAAAAAAGTTACAACTAGTCGGGTCAAACACTAGTTTTTGATTAGTTCCATCTGTAATCATATCGAGTCTGTACCAATATATTAGTCTGACATAATCAATTGGTTAGATTTGTATAAAAAAATCGTGATGTTACAACAACATCAAGGCTTCGGTTCTCTTTCTCTATAGACAATAATAATTAAAATAAATGTCCTTACTAATAATAGTACATTTAGGTTTCTAAGGTTCTAGACTTCTAGTTTTCCCCCTGACTAGGAATTAGATCGTTTAATTTACCTTGAAAATTACTCTTTCCAGTCAAATGGTTTTGGTTTTCGTTGGAAAAAGAGAATCGTCAAATGAACGGGAAAAAACAAAGAGTGTGACATGCACTCATACATAAAAATGATTTGGCTCGATCATGGTTATGTAATGGTTTGTATCTTGGTTATAAATTATGGTTAATAATTACCACCAGCGATTCAATTTTTTCGTACGCAACATAAAGTTGATAGTTTTTGGCTTACCAAATCATTTTACCGATCCTAAGTAAATTGGCTCATCTTTGGAAGCTGTGATCACTTTTGTAATTTTTGGATTGATTAGATACTCGGTTTAGTAAATTCCCTACCATTATATGAGAGTGTAAAAGTAACAAGATTTGAAATTTTGGAGTGGTGGAGTGGCTTGGTATCTCGAATATGCGAAGAAAATGGAAATTCGAAAGCTTGTACGCTCTTAAATTAATGGTAAACTTCAAAGTAAAGAAGCTTTTGTTAATATTTGTTTACCTAAACAAAAATGTTATTATTGAGTACTGACTCTCAACAAGCATACGGTAGATTCGGATTGTAAAGCAAGCTATTCCCACCAAACTCATTAAGGCGTCGTCAAGTACCCCCAACATCTCCTTTATCAATCGCTAGGGATGGCAATGGGTCGGGTTGGGTCGGGTTTTGCCAAACCCAAACCCAAACCCATGGGTTTATCTTTGAAAAAAACCCGGGGTAAAACCCACCGGGTTTCAAAAACTCAAACCCAACCCAACCCGTTGGGTACCCGCGGGTTCATGGGTACCCACGGGTTTTGTAGTAAAAAATTTACAATTACAATTTCTTATCAAAATTAAAATCAAATATCAATCTCTCAATACAAATTATCCATATATAAAACACCATTCTAGAAAATTCAAGCAAATCACAAATTAACTATACAAATTGTTCAACACCAATCTAGAAAACTCAAAAAAATTGAAGCAAATCACAAATTTTCCATAAATAACATGTTTAATTGAAAGCTTCTTCCTTTCAATTAAGTTTCTTTACTATCCACTCCATAACATCAACTTCATTCTACACAATTAAAAAGAAAAAATTAGACATGTCTCCACAAACATAAATAAGATTAGTTGTTTAGAATATTAAATATACCGAAAAAATTAATTATATGGGTGGGCGGGTACCCACGGGCCGGGTTTACCTAAACCCAAACCCAACCCAACCCGTTGAATAGTGAACGGGTTTAAACCCAAACCCGGCCCAAAACCCGTCAACACGGATTTTACCCGCGTTGACCGGGTTGGGTCGGGTGGGTACCCGTGGGTTCGGGTTTTGTTGCCATCCCTATCAATCGCCCAATAGTGTACTCTATCACTCTGATAGATTTTACAATCTGCGGGATTATAATCATCCTTGTCATTTTCATCCACAACCCTGATAGTTCTAGCATAACCATCAAGCTTTGCCTCTCCATAAGGCCGACAATCAAGCATATCCCATGCTTGGAATGACGGAACCTGGAGGACTGTAAACTTCTCCTCCCCATTCCGCATAGTTAGCCAAACCTGCTAACCCCGTGAATATGTCTCTCAGCCAAAATCCCAAAACCTTATTGTGAATTCCATACCTGAGAACCCAATCTCCAGTGTAATGATCCTGCTTTCACGATCAAATAATATTCAAATATTTGGAATTTTGTTTTACACGTTTTAGCTAAACTATCTATTTCAAATAAAAACATATGTATTTAGATTTTTACTTGAGTATTAAGAAATTACCTTGCTAATAAATTTTTTTTGTTCATATGTCGATCTACCTCTTCCGGAAACAGGAGAAAGAATAACATCCAATGGTATTTCATGATTCGTCACCACGAATCCAGGGCAGTAAGTGTTGTAGCAATGCACATCTTTCGTCTAAGAATTGCAAATATGTTTAATCAAATTTATATATTCTTTTGATAATGATAATAATAAATATTTTCCTGATAATAATAAGTAAAATAATCATAAAACATTCACCATTGTATATATGAAAAGTCGAGTTTACGAATCTTGATACAAGCTCGGATTAACTTAAGCACAAAAAATGCGGAAAAGGGGTTATTGTGTAGTAGTGTCATTTGTTGTCAAAAAAAGTGTAGTAGTGTCATTAATTATCATATGTAGCTATGTCATCTGAGAAGGTTGGAATGTGACTAAATACGTTAAATTATTTACTTACTACCCATCTCACTCATGATTATATACACTAGTGTACATTCCAGCTCCATGGTACCTTTTGTCCCCGGTAGACCTTAATACTGCAACCTATGTAACGAAATATATGGTTCCATGACCAAGATATGAAAGTATGGTTAGCTTGCATATAACAAATAAAAACCAAATTCATCATGACTTTCATATAAATTACTATGAAATTAAATAATAATGGAATGGTAAAAATTAATGGGCATTTCACAAAGAGTTTGGTGGTGCACCTTGGATTCTAGGTGTAACAGATGCATAATTGTAATTTGTAAACATTAACAAAGAGTTTGTACATGAGTATTTGCAAGTTTTACTGATTATTTGTTTTAATCATGGTAAAGGAAACCGGATCGTACCAGCCGGTTCAACCGGTAAAATCGGGAATCAGGCCAGTGACGAAACGGCACCCTACCAGGGCCTATTCTACTGCGCCGGCCGGTATTAACGGCGTATTCGGCATTTTTCGGTATGCCGTCCGGTTTATTCATGCGACAAAAAAAAAAAAAACGATAATGGACTAATTCTGCTAACCCTGATCGATTCTTCTTCGCCCTTATCTCCAAAGTCCAAGATTTGTTCACTTCACACTTTACCTACCGCAGCGGCGCAGCCGCTCCTCCTTTCTCCAGATCGCCGCCTACCTTCTCGTGACTGTAAAGAAGAGCTCGACGTCGGCCGCCGATCGATTTTCAGCATCCAGCGCAGCCTACCCCTCCAGTTCTTCTCCAGTTCTCCAGCAGTTCGATTGATTTCCGCCGATCGACGCCGTCGCCTGCCGTTCGTCTTCTCCAGCAGTCCGGCCTTAGGTCACCCAATTCGTGAGTTTATGGTCGCCGCTCCCGCTTTGGCGTGGCAAAACGTGATTTTTCAACAATCCTTTTATAATTCGCGAATTGTAACTTTTCAGAGCACGAATTATATACAAAAATCCGCGAATCATCTGAATGCAGAGAAGCTTATCGTTGCTGGAATGCATACACTTCTGTCTGGCATATCTATTTTGTGAAATCGAGCAAATCAGTAAGATAATACAAAGAAGAAGGACGCCAGAGCATATTGAGAATGGATGTCGAGGGAGGGTAGTAGATCTAGGAGTTGATGCCTTGCAATCGTCTGAACACGGATTTGCCCTTGTAGGAGAACTTCGCCCTTAATTTTCCCTGGATTCACTAGTCACACCGCCGACTCCCTTTCCGTGATGAATCCTCCGGCGAGTGGCGAGTGCTGCTAATATCCACACGAGTAGTCAATCTTGGGGATGAATAACACAGGATTTACTGGGACGGAGGGCACTAGATCCAGGTTGGTCAGGTGGCATCTGAACTAAATTTTGGCAGATCTACATGAGGTCTCTAGCATTCGAACTCTGTTTTTTTGCAGGGCGATGAGGAAGAAGAAGTCGAGAAGAAAGAGGGTTTTTTGTTTGACAAATAATTGGGCTACTGGGACGGTGGGATGCATAAATGATACATTTATTCCTTTCCTTTTCTTTGAGAATAAATCTAAAAATAAGGTAAGGTAAACTTTTTCCACTTAATAATAGTATGTAAAACTATTAAATTACTAAAATAATTTTTATTGTACTTTTGTCGAAGCTTGTGGTAGTATTTTGACAAAAATTTGTTACTAGATTAAATTAAATATTTTAATTAAAATATTATAATATTAACGCTCTTTACACACTCTCAAATTATAATTTACAAAGAAAAGTGTTTGAAATTTTGGTTTTCAATTAGGTAAGGTGAGTGGAATGAAATTTGGTGGATGAAAAGTGTTTGAAATTTTGGTTTTCAATAATGTTGCTGTTTGTTGATTGTTATATTAAATATGCATATTTAGTTTATTCAGGTTTGTTATCCGGTATATTCTGGTTTTATTCCGGTATTATTCCGAAACGATATCCTGAATCTGTCGGCACAGTTTTTTAATAAAAAAATATTATTTAATTACAAAAAATGGTATTTTGTCGGTACACAATGATTGAACCACGGTAGTACCACAAAATACTCTACCACTGGCGGATCTGGTATGACTTCCGGTACGGTTTCCTTTACCATGGTTTTAATACAAAGTATTTGTTGACTATTTATAAATAATGTCAGTTTACAGATTATTTGTTTTACTGATTATATGTAAGAAATTCCAAGATATATAAAACACGCGATAAAATAATAAATACTTACATGAACTCCCGAATTGAGGTTGGACGTAATAGCAACAACTAAATTTGCTCTAAGTAAATATTTTTTTGTAGTTTTCCTAATTGGCACCGTTCCAATTGGACATCCTTTACCATTCAACCATATGTCCAAGTGTTCGCCCCCAAATGAGCTTGAGTCAGTTGCTCTTGCTTCGAATCGTGTAAAGAAGAGTTCAACTACAATGCAACCAAAAAAGACATACCGTTTATTAATTATTGATACAAATACCGTGTTTAATTAAATGTATTAGAAAGGTATAAGAAAAACATGTAATGATCATATACCTGATAATCAAATTTACGATTCTTTAATAAAGGATGATTAAATGCCGGTTGCTTGTAGAAATGCACACAATTATATGTGTCTCCATGGATTGTCTATTTGACAAGGGACGCAGTAAAACCATTAAAAATCAGTTTGATGGTACTAACTACAATTATAATCAAGAAAATAAATAATTGGGATAAATTCATTTAACAATGTAACCTGGATAGTGGCAACTGACTTATCCAAACAAGAAAGTTGTTTTCTTGATCTCCCAAACAACCTCTGTGCTGTAATGAGGTTAAGTTCTAATAATAACACATATTGGACAACAAGGACCATTATGTAAATAGCCAAATAGCTTAGGATTAGTTCAGTATAGTTAGAATGTAGTTAGGACCTACAATGTAAATTAGCTAGGTTGTTACAACTATAACGGTTTTTCCCTCCGTTCAACTCTGCAAACCAAAGTATAAAATCAGCTTCTTTGGCTGAGCTCTGTATGTTTTCTTCCTTCAATACAGTAAATCAGAACTTCAATGAGAATTCTAGCATGACAAATATTAAGGCAGAACTAGAGGTGGTACAACCAATATTCATCTTTAATTTCCTGTAAAAAAGTTATAAAATATGTATTAATATCTACAAACTGGACACTTATCATGCTTGCTTCAATGTAGTTTCAAGACACCTCCTCTTGAATTCTTTTTGTGTATATTTCAGATGAAATTGTTTTCTGCATTAATGCTTACGGCCTTTTATACAGGGAGAAAGTAATTTGTTAACAAAAAATGAGATATCATCGATTATAGATAAAAAGTGTAAGTCACTTAAGTCATATAGTAAAATTTGCTTTTATATTTTTATCTAATTTGAAATTTTCAATGCACTCAAAGTTATAATGAAATATTATCTACACATTTACTATATCATTAAATTATCGGGCAGTTCTAAGGTGCCCAGGGCAAAATCCGGGATACGGAAGACCGGGGGCAAGGAAAATTACAAAAAGCATCACGACGCGTTACAGCTTTTTTCATTCGATTTCAACCTAACTGTACCCGGTTTAATTATATGGATTAAGAGGTTAAATCCTATGGATACGAACCACCGCCGCCCTAACCAATTTCCAGTCCCTCATTCATCTTGGAGGGGACGTCCCCTCTTAGTTCGAAGTTCGAACATAAGCTGTCTGTCGAATCTGAAATCTCCAACAAAATCATCGTTTCGAAACCCAATCCTTTTATGATTTGATCCACATTCGATATAGCTCCTTATCCAATCTCAAATCCCCAACATCATTATGTTTTGAACCCCAAATTTATGTATCCACATTCGAAGAGAAGATCCACTTTCAATCTGAAATCCCCACATAATCATCGTTTTGAACCATAAATCTTTGTATCCACAATCGACGTTTTGTTCTTCGCCATTTTATTTCTAGCCGGAATTTACTCACCTATCTCTTTCTAACACGATTACGGCGACCATGTCTATTATTATGTTCATCAAACTTTTCATTTTGCTAACCCTAGGGTTCATGTCGCCAGTGCTTTGTCATCTTGTCTTAGCGTTATTGTCATTTTCTCGAAACTTCTATCTCTCGGTGAAATTAAGATTTCCTGAGATGTAGGGATGGTCTCTCCCAAAGGATTGAGGAAGAAGATGAAGAAGACAGAATTTGATTCGAATCTGATGGAGAGGTCGCCTTAACTTGTGTGTATGTATTAACGGTGCGTTTAGGACTAATTCTAGTTGGACTGGGATCCGTATTATTTCTAGGTCTAATCATTGAATTTTGCAGGCTTTTAAATAACATTCAAAAGTGGGCTTGTACATGATCCGGATTTTCATTAGGTTGGGCCTTTGATAATTGTCTATCCTAATTTTCGGTTCTTTGATTTTATATTTTATTTAAATCTGCTTCTGCTTCTAAATCCTGATCATGCCTTGAGTTCACGCAATTTAAACATAATTATGTGTTCCGTCTTTTTTTGGGATTTGGTAAATGGTAGCGTGTCTCTTTACACATTTATCGGTACGAGGTAAACAACAATCCGCCCAATTTAACTCTTTATTAATTGCCCTTATTCCACTCTCTCACTGTTTGCCCCTCTTTATGCATTGCACTCATACATAACAAACCTCTTCTAAACTAATTAGAGCCTTGTGGTTGGATACTTAGTGAGGAAATTTTTTAAATTTATTTTTTGAAACGATAGTTAGAATTTCACTTTTGAAGTACCTATGTACTTTTGTTGGGCAAGGATTTTCAAAATGTAAAATTTTATCAGCGTATAGGTATTCGATTATTGTATAAGGTGTTGATGGTTAAGGTAATGGGTACTGACTGGTTAGGGTATTAGGATGGTTTATAGTATATGGTATATGGGCAGGTTATAAGGTGTTGGTGGTTTATAGCATATGGTATTGATTGGTTAGGGTGAGGGTAGGTGTTGTTTTATTTTTCTCGATTTTATATTTTCTTTACATCTGCTTATAAATGCTGATCATGCCTTATTATAAGGAAATTTAGACATAATTATTGTAGCGTGTCTCATTACAAATTTATCGGTACGAGATAAAATGATCTGGTGTGTGCAAGGTAGGTTCTTATTAACGATTTTGCCTTGTTGGTGATCCCGACCATTAGCGATTCGCCACATATGGAATCAAAATTAGTTAGAGTTCTTAAGTTCATTTTTCTTCATTTATTCTTCAATTTGAACCAGCATGTCTTTGCTCCGAAGGATTTTGTAGTGGCGTGCTAAAGACAATCCGTCCAATTTAACTCTTCATTAATTCTTCATTTTTCGCTCTCTCATTCCCCGACGAAGCTGAAACAATCCCCTGTGATATATTTACCGTTCATTTTAACTCTTCACTTAATAAGAAAGCAAAATTATGCATGATGGTCATAAATGTGATGTAGCTTAATTGGTTAATTGTCCTTTAGTTGCATAGTCAATAAAGTAGAGGTTTGTGGTTCGATACTTAGCGAGGATCAATTTTTAATTTATGTTTTGAAAAGAAAGTTAGAATTTCAATTTTGAAGTACCTATGTACTTTAGTTGGGCAAAAATTTTATCAGCGTATAGGTGTACGATATTGTATAAGGTGTTGATGGTTTAGAGTGTCTGGTATTGGGTTAGAGTATTGATCATCTCCATCCCTAAAATTGGTTAGCAATTTCTAAACGTGGTCCCTACCGCCACATCATCAATTTTAGCAATTCATCACTTATCAATTTCTAGTCATCTACATCCCTAAATTATGCTAGCAATTGCCAAAGTGGGTCTCATTTACTATTTCAAAGCTACACAAACACTTATCAATTGAAAAGTTAATAAACAAGGAAAAAGGAAAAAGAAAGTTATCTATGTGTGGCACTGCTAGAAGAATTGCTAATTTAGCAATCTTTCTATTTTAGAAAGAACTCCTCCATCCCTAACCATTGCTAAGTTTTTGCCACCTAAGCTCCACCACATCTTTATGGTTTAGAGTATAAGGTATTGAAGGTTAGGGTATAAGGTAGGTAGCAAGGTGTTGATGGTTTAGAGTATATATGGTATTGATTGGTTAGTGTATAAGGTGTTCATGTTGTAGAGTATATTGTATTGATTGGTTCGGGTATTAGGGTTGATGGTATAAGGTTGAGGGTTTAGGGTTATGATTCTAGTTAGAATAACATAAACCAGATCAATAGAGTAATGTTGCTAACGAAAAAGTTAGTTAATCTACAAAGCCAGACTATTTATAAAAGCACATCCCCATCTCCTGCCGTCAATTCCTAAACTTTTCCCTTAATCCGATGGTGAAATACCTTCGATCCTTGTTGCGTGCGTGTCACCCAATCAGATATCGCCGAATCCAGAAAGTCGCATTTGCCCATAACCAATGCTGGCGTTACCAAGGCCGAGGCTGTGATAGGGAGTGTGATTTTCAGTAAATGGGAAGGGCGGGAAAGGCAAAGTAATTACGAGTCCATTTATAAATTCGTTAATCAGTGAAGGAGAGACCGTGCTCCGAAACCCGAGTGGCACTCATCTCCTGGTTCTATTCGTTCCTCCTCCTCTCAATCCCTGAAAAGAACCCTTTCTCCCATTTTCTAAATATGAAACTCTGAAAAATGAACCCCTGTCGCCTCTTCGTCCTCCTGTCCCATGCTTTCTTTTCGGTTGCAGTGATAATGATGATACTGCGTATTATTTTAGATCTCGGTCCCTTTCATTATGTCCTTCTTAGATCGTGACTGTTAAACTAACTCCTTAGTTTTATAGTTTCTTCTTTTCTCTCCATACAAGGGCTTTTTAAGAGGCAGTGAGGGGAGCAATGGCAACAAGTTGATGTCTGAATATTGCCAAAAAAATCATCATATGTTGTTACGATTCCATAATAGGTATTGTGGAACCCTACGTCATATGATGGCTTTTTTGCGCAAGATTGACGCGTACATGTTGATCATGCTCCGAAATTATATACAAGAGGGAAAAGTTGCCATATGTATAATAGGATAAAAGAGGGAAGGAAAGTATGGTGTTTTGTTTTTTTCAAGAATTGTACTTTTAGTGTTTGAGATCTTCTAAATCGGTGAGGGATCCTTCACTCCCAATAAAAATACTGTACTTTATTTCTTGATTACTGACTTCATTTTCAGAAGTCTTTACGATTGGGCCAACAGTATTTTTTTTCGGATTTCGAACTCTGCTCCTCTGTCGCCACATGCTCTTGTCATTTCACGCCTAAAATAATAAAGTGAAATGGATAATAACAAATTTCATTTCATAATTTTAGTAGCCAATATTAAAAAATACGATATAATAATTCAACAAAAAAAACGAGTGCTTAAAATTATTCAACTGAAATGTTGCACATGATTTATTTAGAGTGCTTAAAATTATTCAACTGACAATTATTATTGATGATGATATAAGACCTTAAATACTTGATGCTTAGCCATAACACGACTTGGCCTTATTCAAACAGACACATAAATTAAACGACACCGCATAAGGCAGTAGTCTTCTTATATACCAAACGTTGCCGCATAGGAGAAGGACTTTCAGCTTCAGTTCAAGTTTCCAACACCGATCAAATAGTTGAATCCCTTTTACACACACATTACGACGAACTCAAGTGTCCAAATCTCTGGTCCTTAGCTTGCTACTTCTGGTAACAGGCCTATTCTGCAAAATCGATAACGGCGATTTTAGTTCGACAAAAATGTTGGATGCAACTACATTGTGTAGACACGAAAAATTATCTTTTATTCTTACCCTAGGTTGCTCGTCATCGTCGTGAGAATCAACATCATCGTCATTTTCATCCTCGGATGACCTTGACCTAGTA